TGTATTGATCCGCTTCTCTGCTTGTTGTCGAATCAAGTCTTTATTTTCGAAGTGTATAGTACATGAGCTTAAAAACTACGTAAATAAGAAAATAGATTTTAGTTAACTGCTTTCTACTACATCCGTTCTATTTTTGTGGGTTAATCTTGCTTGTAATGAATCCGTAAAAATTGCCCAACCAACTGAATTGAACTCTTACTTATCACCACAAATCAAACTCATATTTTTTCTCTTATCTCTCTTTTTTCGTTAAAAGAGCAAGCGAGAATTGTTAGTGTTTACGCCAGTTAACAATATTCTCATCACATGACACAGAAAACATTAATTTATTATAAATGATAAATGTGTGTTTTCGGATGTTTCGTCACCTGAAACAACGTTAATTAGCACCTATGCGTTTATTCCGGCTGATTACTCGTGCATTTGATAAGAATTTTTGCGGACTTAAAATACAACGAAATAGTTTGCTTTTTTTTACATTCAGGTATATGTTTGACATTTTACAATTAATACGTTTATTTTCTGTCAAGGAATGACATCCGGAAGGAGATAGTATTCGGCCAGTATCTGACAAATAATTCCGAAGTTATTATAAAAGATACTTGAAAAAAAATATGAGAAACTGGAAAAGTTTTTGTGGCGATTTTCAGCCGTTACGATTTCATCGGACTGGACTTTGTTGACGTTGTCACGTTTATGTGCACGAAACGAGTGACTTCACCGTAACAAAACTGACCACAATTTTGACATAGGGAATGCTACTTTGATTAAAAGAGAAAATAATCTACTGAGACGAAAATATTTGGAAAGTGCCTTGATCGCTAGTTCAGCTACGGTAAATTTGCGTCCAGGCTCTTACAATATACGACCATTCTTGGTAAATTTTATAATGTCACAGTCCGGGATAATCAGGGAAAAGGTGATGGACAGAAAACAAAGAAAAAAAATACAGATAAATTTGGCTAGATTGGAACAAAAATATTCTTTCAAAAATTTTTGCAACTACATGCGTCCCTCGCTTCGTGCGCATGTGTAGACGAGACAATATTAGCCAAGCCCAGTTCGATGAAACGCCTCAAAAGAAATTTTATAGTTTGTTATATTTATCTATCTCTCCCTCCCTCTCTCCCTATATATATATATATATATATATATATATATATATATTATTTAGTTTTTCCAGCGTTTTTACATTTTTTTTTTCGTTTGGTGAGAGTAATGGAGTGCAAAAATTGTCCATAGTTTCCATTATCTCAAGCATTTTCGACCACTTCTTTAGCCATTTTCAAGGGGGCTTGTTTTAGGTGTTTTTAATTTCGCCTCATGTTTGACTTTTTAAGATGTATTGTTTTGAGTTGTTAAAAATAATAATTAATTAATAAAATTTTACTTGTCTATCATATTTAACTATATATATATATATATATATATATATATATATATATATATATATAATAAGAGAAAGTACGATAAGATATATAATCCGGTGTTCTTATTAATATTTTTGTTTTTACAAAACAGTGCTCAATGCAAATCTACAGAGCATAAATATTATAAATTTACTAATTTAAAAATATGGTTCCATCGCTACACAGGAATTATCATGTTTCATTGGACTGGGCTTTGTTGATGTTGCCACGTCTAAACATTCGCACGAAACTAGAGACACAGGTAGTTTCAAAATTTTTGAGAGAATTTTTTTTTTAATCTAGCCGAAATCATCCGTATTTTTTTTCTTTTTCTCCAAGAATGATGTATGTGATAAATTTATGTCCAGGCTCTTACACTATATCATCATTTTTTGTAGATTTTATACTGTCACAGTCTGGAATAGTCAGGGGCAGAGGTGATACGGAGAAAAAGAAAAAAATACGGATGAATTTGTTTAGATCGAAAAAAAATACTGGTTGGACAATGTCAAACAGTAAACGGGTAAGACTATATCAAAATAGCTGATAACGGTTGTGGAGGAGATTTAGTGTGGCTCCTGCATTCGGATACCCCTACGATTACAAAAGTCAAGGAGATGACGATGATGATAAAAGTATTATTTCAAAAAATTTGAAACTACCTGTATCTCTGGTTTCGTTCGCATGTGTAGACGTGGCAACGTCAACAAAGCCCAGTTCGATGAAATCCTAACGGATAAAACGCGTCACAAAAACTTTTGCAGCTTGTCATATTTTTCTAAATAATGTTTGTTGATATTTTAAAATTATATAAAACTATATATCGTTATATAAAAGATATAAAATTATTAGAATATCGTATTATTTAGTCATTTATTTAAAATGACACTGCTATATTTCCCATATAGTTCAAACATATTATGTTACAAACCTAATATTGTATCTTTTTATGCTATTAATACGAGGACGTAGGCGATTATAGCTCTCCACAATTCCCTTTGTATTTTGGGGTTTTTTTTTCAAATTATTGTTTCATTCTTTTTCCCATCCCCCTTTTGTGCAGATTGACATCCATTCACTCACTCATGAAGTGGTTAACTGTCTTTTTTTCCACCAATTCTCTTGACTTTAATATGTCATGTGAGTGTTAGATTACGACCTCCTCTTCCTCATTCTGCATGGAAATATCCAATCCAAAATTGAAATAAATTTGCAAAAGTAAGTATATAAATCGCTTAGAACCTTAAAATTGCTATTTGTGCCTGCGGTGCGGAAAGCTTTCCCTGTTATTGCAATAAAAGCTTGTAACATTTAATAATAGTATAAGATACTTGTAAAATCATAATAATAAGATAAGATACTTGTAATGAGATAAGATATTTGTAAAATAGACATTCCTGATCTGTCACTGAACAAACCACTTGTTTCTTTTTTTTTAAATGAGGAATTACCATTATTCCCTGATTCTGGTCGGTGTTTTCATCTTTGTCGTTCACTGCATTTCGACGTTATAAGCTGCGCTAGGTTAGGTTTTGTCCAACAGAGCAATACCCTAATCGCTGAACTCTCGACACCTTCCTAAATAGCCTCATCAGACCGACATCCATATGCATGTCGTGAATAGGAAAAACATCTTCAAGAAATATCAAAATTGTCAGCTGGATACAACCGCTTTCTCGGACATAAATTTGAAAAGCTCTTGATTTACCTATTCCTGTTTTTACTGATACGTAAATATATAGGCAATCAACATCAAGGTAGTCCGGCGTATTTGAAATTTCCATATACGAAAAGGAACTTTATCCACACTCAAAACATACAAGTAAAAACCAAACAATTTGCAATTTGACATGAGGATCGTCAAATAAATTGAAACCATTTTTCATGCCTCATTTTTGGTATGTGTAACTCTAGTAATTTGCATACGGATATAAAATAAGTTTATCACAGTACAGAAATGAGAAAGAACGTAAGATTAAGTGAATTTTCTGATCAGGTTTATTTAACGTATACACAGCATGACAGTGTGGTTAGAACGTTCGCCTTCCAACCAGAAGACCCAGGTTCAAATCTCATAAAGATCGATTAGCCAGTAAGGTGAGTTCTTGATATTATCGGCCAGAGAGAGAGAAAGAAAGAAATCTAAGATTCATCTAAAAACGCTGACTTGAAATATAGATAAAAACGATCTCCCCACTGAAACTTGTCAATTAGAAGTGTTACCACCGCAGCAATGCTCCCTGGGGAAATACGGAGATGCGTACATCTTTGATCGACTTTGTAAATAGGTCAGTTTTCTCTCTAAATTCAATATCTACCATCAATGGGTATGACGATCTAGTGATATAAAGAAAGGAAAATTAGGGAAGAAAGACCGGTTGAAAAACTGATGAAAAAAAAAAAAGGATAATTTCTCAAAGAAAAAAGAGCTAGTTTTGATTATAAAACCAGAAAAAAAAGGTTTAAAAGAATATGACAAAAACACGATAATGAAAACGGAAAGAAATTTATCAAGAATGGAAAACGAAGACTGAATTTCAAAAAGGAAAGGGAACGTGTTTGAAAGGAGGGGAGAAAAAAGTTTTAAAAGAAAAGGAGAAAAATATTGGACATAGAGATGGAAAAATTCTGAAAGAAAGTGAACAATAAAAAAAAAACAGCAGACTATCAGAAAGAGAAAATGAGAGAGACGCAAAAATAAGGGCAGATAATAAAACAAGGAAAATGGTATATAAACATTTTAAAGAAAAAGTAAAAAGAACGAAAGAAAACATAAAGGAAAGTTAAAGTGAATGATATATTTCAGGAAGGAAGAAAACAATCAATTTATATTTTACTAAAATTTATTTTTAGCTGCAAATCTGAGCCTTATATCTGCCACTCCCGAATTGGAATGGAAATCTCGCGAAATAATCTTCGAACTTAAAAAAAAAAATAAAAATTCTCATAAAATAATATAAAAAAGTCAAAATATCTCTCGCAAAGTTTTGGGAACATCTTCCATCAGTCAAAATATAAAGTTGTCGTTCGTTGGTTTTATTTTCAATGTCTCAGTCGACATCAAAACTGAAACACGGGAAGCTAATTTTAAATAATTGTTTAAAGTACAGACATTAAAATTGTAATTACATATACAGTGTAACCCGGATATAAGAGAGATTTTCTCTGGTCCCAAATTAGAGCCTGTGTTAATGTATATAAATTAGACCCGGATCTAAGAGAAACCCGAATATAAGAGAGATTTTCTCTGGTCCCGTCCTCCCCGATATAAGAGAGTTCATTTTGAGTGACAGTGTGATGTCGTAAATCGGTCAAACAGAGGTCAGTTAGAGAGAGAGAGTGAAGTTCAATGACTTAATCTTGACTAGTCTAGAGACACGGTGTGTCCAATCTGTGTCTGTAGGAGACACCCTCTACCTTATGATTTTGCTTTGTGTGTCTAAGGGTAGCGCCGCCCGCTTTTTTGCCGACTTTGCTTGTCGTTGCATTTACTGAACAGCACTTTCACTTTACCCACTGTTCTGTTGAGTCAGAAGTTTGATGTTAATTTTGCCACTGAAAACCGTTTGCTTGCGATCATTGCGATTAGTGATGTCGGCGTCTCAACGAAAAACTCTGAGCATTTCTGAACAGTTGGAGCTCATCGACGATGTCAAAGTGAAGAAACTCAAACTGGCCGCTGCAGCCAAAAAGTACGGAATCGGTTATTCAACAGCAGCAAAAATTCTCAAGAAAGAAGACGATCTCAGATCTTGCATGCAAATGAACGGAAACACTAATCGCAAACGAAAGCGCCAATCCGTGCACAAGGACGTTAACGAAGCGCTTACACAATGGTTTACGCAAGCATGTGCTCATGGAGCTACCGTCGTTAACGAAGCGCTTACACAATGGTTTACGCAAGCAAGTGTTCATGGAGCTACCGTCGCCGATCACGTCATCAGGCAGAAAGCATCACAACTGGCCCTAAATCTTGAAGTTGATTTTGAACCGAGCAATGGCTGGCTCATGCGCTGGAAGCAGGCCAATAACGTTTCGTTCAAAAAATTCACGGCGAATCAACGAAGGCCATGCACATGATGAAGCGAGCACTTTTCATGGTCAAACCGTCAACAATTCAAAATTGTTTTAAAAAGGCCGGCTGTGCCATTGCATCACAGGCTGAAGTGGAAGAAATACTTGACGAAAATGATCAAGTTTTTCCACCATCGGGCATGGAGCAAACAGATTTTGACGAATTTATCAGCTTCGACGACCGTACACAATGTTATGGAGAACTGACTGACACGGACATCACACGTGGTATAAAATCGGATGATCAAGATTTTGACGAAGATGATGATGCTGAAAGCGCAAGTTCTGAAGTTTCTGAAAGTGACAAACCAGTGCCAAATTCTCTGGCTGCATTGAATGCGCTTGAAACTCTGACAGCCTACTTTGAAGCAAAAAGCAGTAATCCTGATGGTGCATTGAAAATGATTTATGGACTGTATGAAAGTGTTCATGATGTTAAAAAGAGATTTCTGTACAATCAAAATGACTTACTTTTTAAGAAAAAAGTAATTTTGATTGAATTATTTTGAAAACTGATTGAAAATGTATTTTTTTGGCTGTGTTTTTTATGTCTATAACTGTTAAATAAACTAGTGTTCTCTACGTAAAAAGCGTTATATGAAGTGTTCCCATACTTACCTAAACAAAATAGACCAAACCCGGATATAAGAGAAACCCGGATGTAAGAGACTTCTTCTCCGGTCCCGACAACTCTCTTATATCCGGGTTACACTGTAACAATTTTTCAAAACGTCATTTGTTCACAACTCAATATCTGTCTATATTTCTGAGATGAGGTATTATGTACATTATTTACATTATTCGGACTATTGTCCTCATCTTTGTCGCCATATTTATTACAACGTAAATAATGTGTTCATAACTCCTTTTATTATTTCGGCCTCTTTGTCAAAAATGGGTTTTATTAGGATTGGTGTTTCTGGCTGTTCGTTTCTCTGGACTTTATTTTGATTTTATTCGTTAATTTTTAATTTATTTTATGTTGGTGTTACAGCTAGCCTTATGGCACACATATTTGCTACTTTTGTTTTTCATTCGTGACAGTGTTTAGGAGGCGAATCCAGAATTTTAATAATGCCAAAAATTTGAATGATGATTATTCAGTGAAAATTCTTCCCGTTGGTAGAACTGGCGCAATATTGTGCCCTGAATTTACACTTTTTAATTATTTGTTATTTCCATTTTCTGTATTTTTTTTTGTTTGTTTGTTTATTTAATTTTAAACTTTTTCATATTTTTCGTAAAAAGTTAAAATAAAAAGGTTATTTGAACGTTTTTACATTTTCTCGTTTTTGGAACTATTTTTTAAACGGTTTTCTAGCTTTTTTTTTGTTTTTCATTTGTTTTATTTTTTGTTGTAGTTTTTTATTCTTTTCCTTTTCTCGGGTGTTCGTTTCCTTATTTTCTCTTTTTTACTTCGGGTTTATTTTTTTTTATTTCTGTTTTTCGTTGTTTTTTGCAGTTTTTTTTTTTTTTTCACTTTTCCCTTGTCGCCTTCGCTTTTCTCTTGTCACGCATATTTTTCTCTACCTTTTTTTGGCTTATTTTTTCGTTTTTTCTTATCTTTTTCCTAGTGAAATATAATATTTGTTTTTTTTAGTCCTGTTCGCTCGTTCCTTTTTCATTGTCTATTGTGTATTATAGACGTGCGTATTTCCTTTAATACATAATTTATTTTATTGTATTTATTTCCTTTAATACATTGTTTATTAATTAGCTCTTTTGCATTGCTATATTCATTTTTTTCATTTTATGGATTTACGTTAAGGAATCTATTGGGCCATTCTATTTACTTTGGACAGCAATGTTCTAAACTTAAAGTTAAAACAATGCTTAAGTTTAAACAATGCTAAAAGAAAATTCAAATGATAATGCCTTAAGGCAGATAAGCGGGCAGTTTGATATTCAGAAAATTAGCAAAACCAGATTTATATATCCTCTTTAAAACCCATAGCATTCTACACTATTCTTTTTTCTGACATTGTTTTTTTCCTTTCCTTCGATGTTTTTTTACTCCTTCATTCTTATAACATTTTTTCCTTATCAACATTCTTCGGTCTTCCAGATTTTCAGACGTATATTTCAGTTGCTGCTTTATTTTATAGCGTTTCTTTTTATCGTCTAATCATTCACAATAGATGGTATCAGCGCTAGGATTTCGGAAACCAATAAATGACAATTTTCATTGATTCTAATGATTACATCTACATTGACACAACGAATCATTTTAACCAAATAGAGAAAAGTAAGATCTGGGCTTAATTAATCGCTACGAATTGATTATATTACTGCATCATTTTTTTTTATTTAAGTTTAGAACATTGCTGTCCAAAGTAAATAGAATGGCCCAATAAATTCCTTAACGTAAATACATACAATGAAAAAAAAATTAATATAGCTATACAAAAGACCTAATTAATGAACAATGTATTAAAGGAAATAAATACAATAAAATAAATAATGTAAATATATATATATATATATATATATATATATATATATACAGAAGCGTCCAAAACTAAGGGACAATATTTGTAAGTTTAAAAAATAAATATTTGTAAAAAACAAAATTATAACAATTATTTTATTTCCATTTTCAAATAAAATCGTATATATATATATATATATATATATATATATAAAATATATATATATATATATATATATATATATATATATAGTCCAAAACTATATATATATATAAAATATATATATATATAATATATATATATATATATATATATATAATATATATATATATATATATATATATATATAGTATATATATATATATATATATATATATATATATATATATATATATATAATATATATATATATATATATATATATATATATATATATAGATATATATATAATATATATATGTATATATATATATATATATAGTATATATATATATATATATATATATATATATATATATATATATATATATATATATATATATATATATATATATATATATATAGTATATATATATATATATATATATATATATATATATATATATATATATATATATATATATATATATATATATATATATATATATATATATATATAAATGGAATATATATATATATATATATATGTATATATATATATATAGTATATATATATATATATATATATATATATATATATATATATATATATATATATATATATAGTATATATATATATATATATATATATAGTATATATATATATATATATATATATAGTATATATATATATATATATATATATATATATATATATATATATATATATATATATATAGTAAATATTCATTTTCTCCAATAAAAAAATCATTTCTGTAGTTCCTTGCCAGCAAGCAGAAAATATTTCGCCTCCCGATGATGGCCATTTCGGTCAGAACTAGTCGAGGAATCTAAATGAATAATAATAATAATAAAAAACGAAAGAATATTAATCTACAAACCCAGTGTTCAATGTGTGTTTTAATTTTTAATTTTCTTATTGTTCAAAATATATATATATATATATATATATATATATATATATAGTATATATATATATATATATATATATATATATATAGTATATATATATATAAAACGATATATATAGAATATATATAGTATATATATATATAGTATATATATATTTTAATTTTAATTTTCTTATATATTCATATATATATATATATATAGTATATATATATATATATATATATATATATATATATATATATATATATATATATATATATATATAAATATATATGTATATATATAAATATATATATATATATAGTATATATATATATATATATATATATAGTATATATACATATATATATGGTGTATATGTATTACGCGCGCATATATATATATATAGTATATATATATATACGCATATATAGTATATATATATATATATATATATATATATATATATATATAGTATATATATATATATATATATATATATATATGCATATATATATATATATATATATAATATATATTTATACATTGTGTATAAATAATATATATAATATGCGTGTGTGTGTTATCCATTGATGTGTCAAGAAGACATTTTTAATCGTTAGGCTCGGTTTGGGGGGGGGAGCTTTTTCAGTTAATTTTATTACAATTTTTAATAAATGAATTATTCAGTAATCAGTAAAAAAACTTCATTCCGTATCTTTTCCTATTATTCTTTCCTGATATTTTCCAACACTATGTGTTATTCTTCCAAATTGACTAATTTGCTCCCTTCTATTTTTTCTCAGCACTACAATAACTACGCAATCACCATAAACTTAATCGCGTTGTAAAATTTCCATATACAAAAGATAACTTTATCCACACTCAAAACATACAAATAAAAAAACAAACAATTTGATATGAGTATTGTCAAATGAAATAAGGCTATTTCGATGTCTCATTTCGGAATGTCTAACTATAGTACTTTGCATGGAGTTATAAATTGCATATGGATGTCGATATATAACTTTTTTTTTTTTAACAAAATAGCACAGAAAGGTAAGATTTTGGTATCCTTGTATTAGTAATCATTGGATTCCTTACATGATTTTTATTCTAAAATTGATTATTGAATATCAGGAATGAAATTAGTTCAAGGGATTATCTCATAAAGACGAAGACTTCTTGATACTAGAATAAAGAATCTCCAGTTGAAACGCTAACTTGAGCTTGATATTTATCTTACATGATTTTCACTTTATTCATTTCGTCTAAAGAAACTTTTATAACCAAGGAGATAAATATATATATATATATATATATATATATATATATATATATATATATATATATATATAATTATTTATAAATTATCACATAAATATGTTATATAAATCACTACAAAATAGCCATTTTGTTTCAACATCTATTTTTGTAGTCATTTTTTTTAACATATTTATGTTATAATTTTTAAAATATATAATTATATTCGCTCTAGTCTGTACTGAGCATTCTTTTAAGAATATG